AACACAGAAGAATGGGAGCACTGTGGTGGGAGTAGCACAATCAACATAAGCTTTCTGTGGCAAGGCAGAAAGGACAAACCAATGTTATCCTACACTATGCCAAGGGCATGGCAGTGGAGGGGTCGGCCTCAGAAAATGGCCATCTTGAAATCAGAGAAATAATACAATGGGTAGGGTGTTTGCCTTGCATGCAGTGAACGGGTTTTCGATCCTCAGCATCCCATATGTTCCTCCCTGAGCACTCCCAGGAGTAATCCCTGAGTACAGAGTCAGGAAGAATCCCTGAGCATTGCCAGGCATAGCCCCAAAACTAAACAAACAAGCAAACCCCAAAATGACCTTCTAAAAACCAGAGTACACACCAGGAAATGGAGTCTGTTCCATCCAACAAGAGTTTAATTTGTGTTATCATTGCATAGAATTGTTCACACATGGATGACAAAAGACAAATGGCAGTTTGTTATTACTCCAACCATTTCTGTATACATTGCTTCCCCTGAATGCTCACATCTGAAGCGACCACTCCCATCACCCCATTTGCCACAGAAAAGAAAATCACTTCCAATGTACGAATAAATACATTCACCCAAGAAGACATTATGAAGAAAAAAACAAAAAGTGACTCAACCAGTCTATAAAAGAAGTTTAAAGAATGGAAGGGAACTAAGAGAATTTCGCTGGAAATTGGGTAGCACTGTAGCACTGTACTCCCATTGTTCATTGATTTGCTCGAGCGGGTACCAGTAACATCTCCACTGTGAGACTTGTTACTGTTTTTGGCATATCGAATATGCCATAGGGAGCTTGCCAGGCTCTGCCATGCAGGCAGGATACTCTCGATAGCTTGCTGGGCTCTTTGAGAGGGACAGAGGAACTGAACCCGGGTCAGCCATGTGCAAAGCAAATGCCCTACCTGCTGTGCTAAAGCTCCAGTTCCACGCACCGCCCCCCCCTTGCCTGAAATTGGGTATCACTTGAAATCCTTACTGGAGACTTGTAGAAAGATTATAGAAATTTCCAATTATAGAACAACAAAGAAAACTGCCGAAGTTTGATGGGTTTTCCCCTTCTCCATTCTTCCCCCAATGAGAGAAAAAAGTCAGAACTTCCTCTTCAGGTCTAGACTCAGAGAGACTGTGGTGGGATCATGTAAAGTGCTTAGTGAGGTTTCTTATGAAGTGTTTGAGTAAGATGTTAACTTCACTCTAACACAGTCTGAGGAACCAAATGAGGCCACTGCTCAGGCTTCAGACCCTGGTGTTCCTTGTGTTTTCTATTACAGTACAATAAATTACTCTAACTTTACAGGTTTAAGACAAGACACTTTATTTTCTAGAACTCTGGGTTTTAGGTAACTGTGTTCTTTGCTTCAGAATCTCACCAGACTGAAATGAAGACCAAGCTTTTGTCTTAACTGAATCGTGACCGTGGAAAGATCCACTTTCAGACTTCTACTATTGACTGAATTAAGTCCCTTGTAGTTGAAAAAGGGTTCTTTTCAGACTATCCTTGGCTGGGGGGTCAATGTAAGTTGTTCACTAGATGTTGTTCTCAATTTCAAAGGCTGCCCAAAGTCCTTGCCTCAGGATGCCACTCAACAAGACTGAATGATTCCTTAAAGCCCCAGCAAATGAGAAAGACCCCTCCTAGGTCAAGTGCTACAGTCCTCTATCACTTAATCACTTAACTTCCCGTTAGTCGTCGATTTGCTCGAGCGGGAGCCAGTAACGTCTCCATTTGTCCCTGTCGCGTGCTAGTGTAGCCCAATGGCATCTCTTCGCTCCGGGAACATGGAGGGCCTCAAACCGATCGTTCATGATCTTGACGAAGAAGTCTGACCATCTGGTAGGTGGGCGGCCACGCGGTCTCTTGACATCCCGTGGAATCCAATCAGTAACAGCTCTAGTCCAACGGTCGTCTTTAAATCTCATTACGTGACCAGCCCATCTGATTTTCGACACCTTGGCATATGAGACAGCATCCCTGATCCTTGATCGTCGACGGATGTCAGAACTCCGGATTCGTTCTCTTATTTGAGTGAAACGTGATATTCCAAGCATAGCTCTTTCTATTCTTCTTTGGGAGACCTGAATGGCGTTCTCATCTTGTTTGCGTAGGGCCCAGGTCTCTGAGGCATATGTTAATGCAGGAAGAACAGTGGAATCAAAGAGATGTGCCCGGAGCCGGAGGTTCTTCGTCCTCTTAGCTATTTCTTTGACGTTCTTGAAGGCGTTCCAAGCCGCTCTCTTCCTCCTGCGCAGCTCGGGTGCCAGGTCATTTCTTATGTTGACCTCTCGACCTAGGTACACATAGCTGTTGCATTCGGAGATGGTCGTTCCATTGAGAGCGAATGGGGCATCAGGAACAAGGCTGTTTCTCATAAACATTGTCTTCGTAAGATTCAGCTGTAGTCCTACCTTTCCACACTCACGGTCAAAGTCGGCCAGCATTTGTGCCGCTTGGCTGATGTTTGGTGTTTTAATAACAGTCCTCTATAATTTAATCATATAATTCCACATACTTTTGTCTTATCCTCTTTATTTAAAGGAAGATACAAGTCTTGTTTATATTCAGTTCCAAAGAGGACTGTTTTAATAACAGTCCTCTATAATTTAATCATATAATTCCACATACTTTTGTCTTATCCTCTTTATTTAAAGGAAGATACAAGTCTTGTTTATATTCAGTTCCAAAGGGTATGAACACCAGGAGTCAGGAATCATGCTACGGAATCTGTCTGCACATCTGAACAAGAGTAGGTCATCTGGGGATGGTCTGTACCTCTGCATAGAGAGTTCACGTGAAAGATAACAAAGATGGTCTTAGAAGTTCTTCCAATGGAGGAAGCAGGAAGACATGAAGGTAAGTAACATGGGAGATTTCCTGCAGGACATTCAAGATGGGACCAAGAACAGATAAGACCAGTGGAGTTCAAACATTAGAACCTCAAAGAAGGAAAACTAATGGATTCCAGAAATAGTCACAATCTCTCCTATTCCACTTTCTGATACCTGCTATCAGATGGGAAGGGTATTTTTCCCCTGGTTTTTTTTTTGTCCCCAGGTTCCCTCCAATCACCTCCCACCCCCTACCCCTGCCTGCCTCTATGGCAGGTGCTTTTCTTCTCTCTTCTCTCTCTCTCTCTCTCTCTCTCTCTCTCTCTCTCTCTCTCTCTCTCTCTCTCCTTTGGGACACTGTGATTTGAAATATTGATACTGAAAGGTATCCAGAATATACTTTACCTACCTTTAATCTTCAGCTCTTGTCCAGAGATCATTCCCAGCTATTATTGTCATAGTGGCTTCTTCTCTATCTTACCTACCCTCAGCCCCCCACACACTTGTGGTTAGTTCCAACCATTGACCAATCCTCTTAACACCTGTTTTCCCTGGCCATGGTTATTATTCTTCTACTATATTTATTTTTATATAGCACACATGAATGCAGTCATTCTATATCTGTCGATTTCCTTCTGACTCATTTCACTCAGCATGATACTCTCCATGTTCATCCATTTAAAATGTCAAAAAGTGACTTCATTTTTCCTGATTGCTGCATAGTATTCCATTGGGTAGATGTGCCATAGTTTCTTTATCCATTCGTCTGTTCTTGGAAACTGTGGTTGTTTCCAGATTCTGGCTATGGTGAAGAGTGCTGCAATGAACATAGGAGTACAGATGATGTTTCAACTGTGTGTCTGTGGGCCCCTGGAGTATATTCCCAGAAGTGGTATTGCTGTGTCAAATGGGAGCTCAAATAGGAAAGGTATTAACCAAGAAAAACATTTGCCATTCCTAAGCTCCCAACTCAGTCCTTGAGAGCCCGGCAAGCTACCGAGAGTATTCGATATGCCAGACACAGTAACAACAAAGTCTCCAATGGAGACGTTACTGGGCCCGCTCGAGCAAATCGACGATCAACGGGAGGGCCTTTACTTTACTTTACTTTAGGGGCCACATATAGTTGTGCTCAGGGATTACTTCTGACTTTGTGCTCAGGGATCATTGCTGGCAGGGCTTGGAAGAATGTATGTGGTGCCAGAGATTGAATTTAGGTCAGCTGTGTCTGGTAATAGTCTTGGCAACTTTGATGGAAACTGAAACGTAGAATATATGTTCTGCTTAAAAGTTATATATTCCGGGGGCTGGAGCAATAGCACAACGAGTAGCGTGTTTGCCTTGCAAACGTTTGCCTTGCACACAGCATCTATCCCCTATGGTCCCCAAACACTGCCAGGAGTAATTCCTGAGTGCATGAGCCAGGAGTAACCCCTGTGCATAGCTGGGTGCGACCCAAAAAATGCAAAACACAAAAACAAAAACAAAAGTTATATATTCCAGCATGTCCTAAAATCTCCTGTTTTTCTGAGGAAAGCAGAAATTTGTCACAACGTCCTTTCAGCCTACTCCCCTCCTCTTCCCCCCAGTATCTACCAGAACACAGGCTTTCTTAAAACTCCATTGGCTGTGCTCTAACTCCAATCCATGGCATCTTTCCTGAGAAGGGGTTACAATTCCCTGAGAGACAGCCAGAGCAAGGGAGTGAAGAGGTGGCAGGAAGGATAACCATTGGTCAATGAGTCCTAACACTGCACTCCCCTTTGTCAGAACAAGGAACATGACAAAATCAATCAGTCCTTTCCAGTTCCATCAAAATTAACTTCATTGGTATGAATAGCTATCAAGTATCTACTTTTTAAATAAACTCTTCTCATCTTTTCTCTTTGATTCTAGCAACTTTGTGGGGGAATTATGATTATACATCCCTTTTTTAGTAGAATGAGAAAACTGAGGCCAAAAGGAACTTGACGTATTTGCAGGAATGGGGAAATAAAGTTTTAGGTCACCGAGTGCATTAGTCTTCACCAATTCTTTCTCTGATCATGTGTTACTCCTATTTCGTGTCTTTTCCCAGATCTTGAAATTCAGAAAGAGGAAGCAGCCATACTTTCAATATATCGACTTTAACTACAGCCAAAACACATATCCTGTGTAATCACAAATACTCTCCTAAGAGTGGGATAGGAAGTCTCAGAGGAGAAGAAGCGACAAGATTGTTTTCAGCGGGAAGAGCCAGTGGGAAGTTCTGGCTGGCAGCTCTGCAGAGGCTGGGTAGCCCACCAAGCATAGCACACAGAACCCGGCTTCAACAACAGGTAAGCACCTTAGTTTCCACCTTCAGAGAAAGTTCACTGTGTCCTGAACAGGTAACTAGGGATTTTGACTCTCCTCTTGTTGATCGTCTGCATGAATCTGTGTGTCGATTTTGTTGACTGGGTTTCAGTTTGCTTATTCACCAAATAAGAAAATTAGGTGAATGATTCTTAAGTTTCCTTTAAGATTGGAAGTTTATGCTTTTCTGTATGTCTCTGCATTGTGTGTGTGCGTGTGTGTGTGCGCGCGTGTGCATGAGTGGGTCTTACAATAGCAAACATTCAGACTGTAATTGTTAATTGATTGATTCCTACATAGAAAGTAGTCTTCATGGTATTTCCTAATTCTATAAGAGAGAAAATTGTGTGCAGGGCAGTTATGTTCCTATTTTCCATGAATTTAGAACTGTTTGTAAAAGTTATGGGTCACACCAAAGTTTGGCTTCACTCACTGCATATAAAGGATGAAGCATCTCTTTCAGACTGTGGAGTTTGGACATGATAGCATTAGTTTTTTAAGTCTTAAAGGAAATTCCATGTACAAAATTCCTCCTCCGAAGTAGCACTTATGTGTCTACATTAAAGTATCACATCCTTAAACCTAGCAAATTTGTCCCTAAATGTTACTCTAAGAAAAGAATTGAAACACCACCAAAGATCAAAGATGGTCATTAAAGCTTTATTCAACATCATAGGAAATAAAAATGCTCTAATAATTATAAACATATGATTGCTTAACTTAGTCCTGAAACATCCATTCATTTAGTTACATGACTTGACTTCTCTTTATTACAATAAATTATACATAACATGATGGTACCATAGTAATAGTACAGCAAGTAGGGTGCTTATCTTGCATGCAGCTGACATGGGTTCAATCCCAGCACCCTATATAGTCCTCAAGTCCAAGCCCACCAAGAATGATCTCTGAACAGAGAGCCAGGAGTAAGCCCTGAGCACTGCCAGGTGTGACCCCAAAACACATACACACACACACACACACACACACACACCACTCAGAAACCCAGCATTTTAATGAGTCATTAAAATTTAGAAATTTAGCATTTTAAATTCCATTAAACATATTCACTTTCATGTACAGCCATCAGCAGCACCAAATAGCATGTTTTTTTTGTCTTCCCAAGGCAAACTGTCCATCAAACAATTCCAAATTCTTCATCCCCACAGCTCTGACGCATGCCACTTCTATTTTAAGTTTCTATAAAGTTGACATCTCTGGATGAACCATAGTACACTCAGACAATGTTTACTCTTTTGTCATTCCTTTGTTTTACTTAGTATATCAGCTTCAAGATTTGTTCCTTTTCAGAATTAACCATTTCATTACTAGACTATATTCTCTAGTGCCAGAGATGCCTGCAGGATAATATTAAGTGTGCGCGCGCACACACACACACACACACACACACACACAAAACCTCTATATGGCATGAAAAAAATGACTGTTTATGTAAAATTTTGAATGTGCCTAAACATAGAGAGAATATGAGAGATGGGGGAAGATTATCTCTGACCTGCATAAGGAAATATTTAATATTCAGTAGCTGAAATTCAAACAACATTTGTGTTTGCTTCTTTATAACGTGTCTCATTATTAAAAATTGCATTTTCTCTTACACAAAACAGTTAGCAACTGATAAAAGAAAAAATAAGTACATGGTATCAGAGTGTATGGCTAGCTAAAGGATATCAACCAGACTTCCAGGCGCTAGCATATCCTGTATGTGAGATATGGAAAATTCTGGAAGAAATTAAAAACAATAGAATTTTCTTATCCTTAAGTTGACCTCGGTCATTTTCCCCCTTAGAATCCTTATACTGTCCATAAAACAGGATTTGTTTCCACTGGGTATTGCCTAATTTCTTGCTTGGTTTCTTTATATTCCGCATATGGGTGCGATCATCTGATACTTGCCTTTCTCTTTCTGACTTCATTTAGAATGACAACATCCACTGCCAACCAAGTTACAGTCAGCTGCAAGGTTTCAACTTTTCTTACACCCTGGTGTGTTCTATTATATATATAGATATATATATGCCATTATTTCTTTATCTACTCATCTGTTGTTGGGCAGCTGGACTGTTTCCAGATATTGGCTATTGTAAATAATGATGATTTTACAGGGATTTGTTTTGTGTCCTAGTAGTCTACCCTACTGAATGATCTATGAGCCCTGGAGAAGAATGTATACTCAGATTTCGGGGGATAAAGAAGTCTATAAATGTCTATAAAGACTCTATTATATTTATTATTTTATAGGTGCTGTTCTCTTACAGAGTCTTAGTCTAGTTGATTTATCCAATGGCAAGAGTGTGCTATGAAAATTTCTTTCTGCTACTATGTTGCTGTTAATATTTTAATTCAGGCTGGCTTGTAGTTGTTTTACATAGTTTGATAATCCCGTGGCTGAGTATTAAATTTTGATGAATAGATCCTTTGATCATTATATGATCTCTCTCTGTGTAGCAAGTTGCTCGGGTCCGAGGTTTGTTTGTGTGTTTTGGGCATTCCAGTTTTTAATATAGGTTATCATGTTTGTCCCTTTATCTCCTTTCAGCACTCAATATTTGTCTAGAGTGATCATTTCAGAATTTCTCTCTCTCTCTCTCTCTCTCTCTCTCTCTCTCTCTCTCTCTCTCTGTCTTTTCTTTACCATTTTAGATTGAAGACAGTCCTATTTCATATATGGGCATTTACTCTCTCAGTTATAGAGTGAGCTGGGATCCTGTAGACAGTACCCTGTGCAGCGTGCTGGTGCTTACATCTATTCATGTTTCACCATGACTTCAGCATCTTAGCACCCATCCTAAAGTTTGAGTTCAGCTGGTCACTGTTGCATGAGAGTGCTCAGATTCACTGCACCTCCAAATAGACCCTGTATCCACCAGAGTGTCTACTTTTGATCATTCCTGGCTATCAGTAGCTAATCTAGGTGTAGTCCATTACTCAGTGCTCCTAAGCCTGAGTAATTTCTGGCCAAACGTTTGCCTTTTCCAACGGGTTCAGAATTTGTGGGGGGCAATTACGTATAAAGAGGAGGAGGTGTCCTTGTTACCAGTAAGCTGCAACAGGCCTATTGATGATTCTTGGCAAAATAGGTCAATGGTTCAATGCCCAGGCCCAAAGATGCAAGGCCACCCCACCAGACATCCACTCTGACTGCTGCACTCTCTTTAGCCTCCAGGCTAATATTTTTCATAGAACTATTCTGTTAAATTTTAAAAAGTTGAACTTATTGGTTTCAAGTTTCTAATGTAAAGTAAAGTAAAGTAAAGTAAAGGCCCTCCCGTTGATCATCGATTTGCTCGAGTGGGCCCAGTAACGTCTCCATTGGAGACTTTGTTGTTACTGTGTCTGGCATATCGATATATTCGATAAGTTTCTAATGTATAAAACAAATTTAATAAAATCTAAACTGCAGAGTTCTTAGGACTAGAATGACTATGGTCTGCTACCTAAATTTTGACAGGAGTTCAGTAAAAATTCATAAAAGCAAATATTGAGCCATTATAGGTAAGGGAGTTAATCTGAGTGTAGCAATAAAGAAATGTCAGAGGGGCTGAAATGAAATGGAATAGGATTAATCATCATCTTATTGGAAAGAATGCAAGACCATGATGAGAGCCTGGGAAGTGGACAAAGAGCATAAAATTTCAGTCCTGGACCATGTGATGTGGGGATATTGGGCATGTGATGAATTGGGGCAGGAAGGAAGCTAGAACAACAGGTTGATGGAGTGAAAAAATGAAGTGGATGCACTCCGGGCAGAAAAACAAGTGTTGTGTGGATGGTTCATCCCTCACCCATAGAATTCCTCCAAATGTTTCTCATTTCTCCCAGTGGCATCATTCCTGCTCACAGAGAATGGGCCATTCAGACACCACAGCTTCTCACACTTTGCCACCAGTCCCCATTCTCAGGTTTGTTCCTAAAGAACTCGTCACCCTTGGAGAGTGCAGGTAAAAAGGTAAAGGTAAAGGCCCTCCCGTTGTTTGTCGATTTGCTCGAGCGGGCCCAGTAACGTCTCCATTGGAGACTTTGTTGTTACTGTGTCTGGCATATCGAATACGTCACGGGGAGCTTGCCAGGCTCTGCCTTGCGGGCGAGATACTCTCGGTAGCTTGCCGGGCTCTCCGGGAGGGGCGGAGGAATCGAACTCGGGTCGGCCATGTTGGCTGCGTGCAAGGCAAATGCCCTACCGCTGTGCTATCGTTCCAGCCCCAGAGAGTGCAGAAACACCTTAATTTCTCCAAAGTCTGGTCTCTGAGATCTTCAGATCTCAAAGTTAATCTTGGGTCCTAACCGAGTCCTACCACTTCTTTCAGAACCATCACTCTCATGCTCACAGAGCCCAAGACCAAGACCACCACTGACACCTTCACTCCAAAAACCATCATGAGCGGCCCAGAAGAGAAATATAGCTTCACAAAAGAAGATAACCTGAAGGATGTTGTGCAAAAAGAACTCACTGTTCTTGGGGTAAGGATATCTCCATTTTTGGGGGAACACTGAGGAAAGCATTATAGACATACCCAGACTATTGATCTACAAAAGATCAGAGAGAATCTTTATTCAATTTTCTTGTCGGGCTTCGGGCTAATGGGGACATGAAAGGGGACTTAAAGAAAGCCATAGTCAGATCTTTCAATAAGCTGAAACTAGTAGGTCTTTTCTTCCTGATATCCAGTATAGCCTCGCTAATTCATCTTTAACACAGAGAGATGTAAGTGGAAACACACTTCACTCAATATTATCACAGTAGATTTTATTCTGTTAAGAAATGTAATTCCTTAAACATTTCAAGATGAGATCATGTGGATGAATCTCATATCTTCTCCCTTTTTGTATGTAACCTTGAGTCTCAAATGTCCTAGGTCATCAGATTTCATATCTAATAAATAAAGATTAAAATAATCTATTTTTTAATTGTCAGGTTAATGCACTATTTGGGGACTGGCCCAGAGCTTTCTAGTTCCCAGGAATGCTGTTCCTTGTCCTGGCTTCTGTCTCTCACCGACTTCCTGGACCAGCAGCGAGCACTGTACTTTCTGAGTTACCACCGAGACCCCTAAATCACAGACATACACTGTCAGCACTCAGCAATAGGAAAGAATTCAGGTTCAGAAAGAATTCAGAATTCAGGTTCTTGGGTCCTGAATTCTTCCTGCAATGGGAAAGTGTAAGACTAAGAGCCATCTTCTGAAATTTTCAAACAGAAAGAGAAGCTATGTTAGAAAAGAGAAAATCACTCTTCTTCACAGGATCAGAAGCATTATTTGATTTACTGCAGCTTAATTGTTTACTAGGTGAAAAGAGCCCATTTCTGGGAACTTGAATTGAGGAATCAGGATTAGAATTTGTGACTGCTTTATCCTTAGCAATATTATTGAAGGACAAGATGTGTAGATTTGCTTTGAATGCTCTACTCCTTAGATCCAGGAGATGCAAGTGGCTAAGTTAGAGAAGTTTATCATTTGGGTGATATTTTGCTGTGCTCACAAGAGGTCTTTCTGCATATAGTCATTTTTGATAGTCAAGAACTTTTATTAATGAAGTAAAGAAAAAATATAGCTTAAGTTCTGGTCCAAACACTGGGAATGCCCAAAACATAATCTTAAAGGAATCAGGTCTTTCTTTTATTAAACCACCACTCCTAACCACCACTTCTCCCCTCTGCCACCACCCAACTCCCCCACCCTTCACTTGTGGCAGGCTTCCAACTATGGACCAGTCCTCTTGACCCTTTTGAGGAAGTTCATGGCTAAGGTCATGGGTGAGTTCTGCTCACCACATTGCTCAGCACCCAGCAATTGCACAGTCCCCTGTGTTGATTCTATCGCTTGGGTTGGTTAAGTTGAGATGTTTTCTCACCCTTGCTCAAGATAAGGCAAACTTCCACCCACATGACTAGCTCAAACTGTATACCCTGGTGATAGACGTGTCCTTGTTGGTCTGTGTTGCTGAGAACAAAAGGAAAAGCTGTCACCTGATGACAAGCAGTGAAGACCATCCACAGAAAATGTGGCCCAGACTCACTTGGGCATATTATTCTTCAGACCAAAGAGAGTATAGTTGTAAAAACTAATAATCAGTGTTATAGAGAATGATATGTAGACAAATTTGAATAATGATTGTCCTTAGGAGAAAACATTTGAGGAGCTAGAGAGACAGTACAGCTGGAAGGGTGTTGCCTTACATGTGGCCAACTCTGATTTGATCCCCAGTACCCCATATGGTCCTCCAAGCACTATCAGGAGTGATCCTGGAGCACAGATCTAGGAGTGAGCCCTGAGCACTGCTGAATGTGACCCAAAAAGAAAACCATTTGATGCATATGTTGCTTAAAAAATAAAACCAATTACTGCTTGTCATTCCACTATAATTTATTGGAACTCATTTCAAAGGAGTAACTTAAGAGAGAGAGGCCACTGGGCCACTTCATATATCTACTTTCTCTTTTTAAAATAATAGACTTATGTGCAAACATGCTAAATAGTCTCATAGATACATTTCATTATTTGATTCAGTATCAATGAGATATTATAAATATAATTTTGCACCCATACATTTATCTACCATTTACTGAGCACCTTTTATCGACTTAGGATAATCAGTGAATCAAACAGTTGAAAGAACAGAGAGAGGGGTCTGTGAGGTGGCTTAGTGGCTAAACCATCTGCCTTACAAGCATCATGCTGTGAGCTCGTTCCCCAGTACCAACACATGCACCAAACACAATCCTGACAACTCTACTGTTTATGATATCAGGCACCACTGTCCGTTTCTTTCGCCACACAACAACCAGGTATGTGAAAGCACTACAGCTAAAGGATATAACCCTCCCTCTCAAGCACCTTAATTAAAATGATTCATGAGCTCTGTGGCCAGAAGTAAAACCCCCTAGTGAGCATGTGTATGAGCACTTCAGAAACTCCTGGTGAGCAGAATGTGAACAAGCACCACAACTAAATTGTGTGACCCCACCCACCCCACCCCCTGCGAAAGTATCTCAATATAGTGTGCAAGCTTCGTGATCCGAGGTTCCTGAGAACCGCAGAACACCACAGTGTGAGCACATTGAGAAAGCATGTGTGCAACCACAGTAACTGCAAAACTGGTCATCATCAGAGGAAAGGGGAGGAGGAATAAAGATAAAGAAAGGAGAAATGAAGGAAGAAAAAGGGCCCCATGCTCACAATTCCTACGGCACATAGGGAGACATGAGGCTACATTCCTGAGTCCTTCTGCTTTTCTACTCTTCCAGGTCAGTTCCTTCTTCCTTCAAGTTATCCACTGTCAAAAGCTCCAGGAGAGCTTCTCCATAAGCCTTAGCTATTTCATATCTATCATGTTCCCTCAGGTCCCTGATCTCTTCTCCCCAGTATCCTATTCATCTTCCTTTAATAAAATCCCTTCAATTTCACTCAGTTCCTTATCAATTCTAACACCAGCAAAGCCGACCACTGTCTATATTTCAAGCGTCCTCCCTATCCATACAGACTTTCCAGATCTCTCCCTCTGACTTCACCACTTCACTAATGGAACAAACCATAGATCCTGAAGTTTCTGGACCATGTAGCCACATACATGACCTTGCCACACCTCCTAATTCCTCAATATTGACATTCAAGTAGAAGCACATCAAATTAGATGGGAACATAACAAAAAAGCTGTCTAAACTCAACAAAAAAACAATAACACAGAAGGCTCAACCAGCAACAAACAGCTTAGTAAATTCTTAGAAAAGGACTGAACAATTCCATAATGAGATATAAAAATTTTCACAAAAAAATTTAAATTTTTAGCTATCAATGTTTAATATTGGAGATTTGCTATCTAATTAATTTCAACCCTGGAATTGTATCAACAGTTGTAGCTTTACATTAAAATAAAATAAATTTTTAAAAAACAAAAAAAATAATAGTCCTTCCTTTGCTAATAGATCTCATTCCTTATCACTGCTCCAGAAATTGTAGGATTGATTAATTACTATTCTAATTACTCACTTCCTCCCCCCAAATACTCTTGAATGATATTCTTTCTTGAATTATACCCAATGGTACTTGTTCCTTCTGCTACACATTACTCACCCGGTTTTCCCAATCTCTGTTACCTTTCTTGAACTAAAAGATATTCTTTGAATTGACTATTCTCTTCAACATTTTTATTCACTTGACTTATTGAATATTTTGTTGGACTAACTTCTGATTTTCCTCCTTCTAATATGCTATTTTACACTCCTTTACTATTCCTGCTTATTTCTATGATCCTAAATTTAGCATTATCCATAGTTAAAGCATTAATTCTATTCGCTTTTCTCTGTTAATCCTAATGATAACTTTATCTGATGATATGGCCTTAAATATCATTTTCATCTATCATTTTTGTATTTTGAAAAATCCTGTATTTCTTATTTTCACTTATTTTGGGTTTTCTTTGGGGGGTGGTGTCACAACCTGCTGTACCTTATAAGGGTTTAGTTCTGATTCTGTGCTAGGAATTACTCCTAACAGGGTTCAGGGGATTATTTGGAGTGCCAGAGATCAAATCTGAGTTGGCTGTTTGCAAGGCAAATGCCATACCTGCTATACTATCACTACAATGCCCTTTTTACATATTTTTCAAACTGAGACTCATCTATCCCATAGTCTGTGCTATATATGTGTGTGTGTGTGCGTATACATATATATGGATATGTGCTATGTCTCCCATATTATCAAGACAGAAATCCTGATTGTTCCCTAAAATACTCACCAATCTTCCCATCTCAGGCTAATGTCAGTTCATAATTCTGGTTGCTCAAGCCAAAATACTCTTTAAGTATTTTTTCCTTTAAGGAAAAAATGTATTTCCTTTAAAGAAATATAAAATAATAAAATAATAATGAAAATAGCACTATAGCACTGTCCTCCCATTGTTCATCGATTTGCTTGAGCAGGAACCAGTAACGTCTCCATTGTGGGACTTGTTGTTACTATTTTTGGCATACCGAATACTCCACGAGGAACTTGCCAGGCTCTGCCATGGGGGTGCGATACTCTCGGTAACTTTCCGGGCTCTCCAAGAGGGGTGGAGGAATCAAACACAGGTCGACCGCATGCAAGGCAAACACCCTACCTGCTGTGCTATCGCTCCAGTCCTAAAACTCAAAAAAAATAAAATAAAATCAGAACTTAGTCCTAAGTTTCTCCCTGCCTTGGGGATTTAGTTTTCTTCTCTTTTCTACATTCTGATAAACTTTTCTTCTTTCTTCATTATGATTTTATTATTTATAATGAAAATAATAAAAATAAAATAATAAAAATAATTTAAAAAATTATTTCCTTTAGGAAAAACTTTGATACTCTTTTTCATAAGCGACATTCAAATTGTCAGCAATTCTATGGTTTTAATCTCCACAGCACATAGAATCCAGTTACTTTTTACTACCTCTATTATCACCATCTTCTTCCAAGTCAACATCATATCACATATGCATTGATTGCAATATTCTCTCTTTAAATTTTTTATATTCATCCTATTAATCTCATTTTATTTCCTTATTATCTATGCTAATGAAAATAAGGTAGAAAGACTTTAAGTGATCATAACATTTCTTGGCTCAAAATTATCCAGTGGCCTTCCCTTTTTTTTTTTTAACAAAATTTTCATTTACTGAGCTATTTTTTGGATGATTCCAGTTACCATTTTGTTGTTAACATGCAATATAAAATAAATGATTTTGTGCCTGCCAAGGGGACAGGCTTGGGGGATGCGTGAGAATGTGGAGATAATGGTGGAGGAAATGTCACACTGGTGGTAGAGTTTGCTTCTAGCCTTCCCTTTTTTATTCAAAATGAAGTGCAAGTTCATAGGAGAGAAAATAATGCTTTAGGTAGTTTACTCTAGGGCTGGAGCGATAGTACAGCGGTAGGGCATTTGCCTTGCATGCAGCCAACATGGCCGACCTGAGTTCGATTCCTCCGCTCCTCTCTGAGAGCCCGGCAAGCTACCGAGAGTATCTCACCCGCACGGCAGAGCCTGGCAAGCCATCCATGATGTATTTGATATGCCAAACACAGTAACAACAAAGTCTCCAATGGAGACGTTACTGGGCCCGCTCGAGCAAATCGATGAACAACGGGAGGACAGTGACAGTGATAGGTAGTTTACTTTATGTTCCCAGTATTTCTCAGGACTCATTTCCTACTACTTTATCTTTATTCTACTTCTGTGGAACTTATCTTTGAAGGGAGATAATGCACATACCATATGGTTGGCACTGTAGCACTGTCCTCCTGTTGTTCATCGATTTGCTTGAGTGTGAACTCTTAGATCCAACTAACAAGGCTAAAGTTCCTATTTTTTTTTTTTTAGTGAATCACTATGAGGTTCAATTACAAGCTTACAAAATTTCGTGCTTGCATTTCAATCATACAATAATCAAGTACCCATCCCTCCACCAATGCCAAATTTCCACCACCAATGCTCCCAACATTCTTCCCACCACTCCCCACACTGTTCCTTCCACCTTTCCCTGCCTCTGTGAAGGGCATTTCCTTTTGTGCTCTCTCTCTTTCTCTCTCTCTCTCTCTCTCTCTCTCTGTTGTGAAAGTCCTTATTTCTTTACTTAGTCATTTGTTCAGATTTGTACAAGTTACGTTAATTCTTAGTACTTTACTTTTCTCCTCTGTGATCAAGATAAGATGAACAGCACAATACATAAGATGTTCAACAAATGTAGATTGATCTCTATTACCATTTGTGCATTAAAAATATAAAAACTATTAAAGCCCTCAGGGGGAAAAGAGATAGTAAAGATTTTAGATACATGTATTGCATACAGCTGACTCATGTTTGATTTCTGGCACCATAGGAATTCCCAAGCTTCACTGAGTGCATCCCAGAGATTCCTGGTTACTACTACTGTGGTTTGGGTGACTCCCCATACTGAAGAGCTCAAGAAACACTACATCCTTGAGACTTTGGATTAAACAGACACTTAGGTTGACCAAATATCACCCAGTTGGGTACCTCCAGCTGAATAAGCATCTTGGGAGGTCCTTCAAAATGTAAAATAAAATAAAATCCACTGATAAATTAATATAAATGATGGCACTAAAGATGGTCTATTTATTTTATTTCAATTTAAATTGAACCCTCTATCAATATTCCCTTGACAAGGTCACTTTCTATAATCCATCTAACTGGCCTTCCCGTTGATCCTCGATTTGCTCGAGCGGGTCCAGTAACATCTCCATTGGAGACTTTGTTGTTACTGTGTTTGGCATATCGAATACTCTTGGTAGCTTGCCGGGCTCTCCGAGAGGGGCAGAGGAATCGAACTCGGGTCGGCCATGTTGGCCGCTTGTAAGGCGAACGCCCTACCGCTGTGCTATTATACATAATCCCTTATGGGGTCATGTAATGGATGTAGGAGTCATTTTCCCCCCTTTTTTTGGGGGGTCATACCCGGCGATTCACAGGAGTTACTCCTGGCTCATTCACTCAGGAATTACTCCTGGTGGTACTTGGGGAACCATATGGGACACTGGGAATTGAATCGGGGTTGGTCACGTGCAAGGCAAATGCCCTATCCACTGTACTGTCTCTCCACTCCGCAGAGGAGTCATTTTTAATGAAACATACTATGACTCTAAATTGCCTAAGACCAGTAAATATTTGATTTGTATACTATTTTATGTACTTATATACTCAGAGTTGTGTGAAAATGTCTTGGGCTGCAGAGAGATTGGAAGTGAAAAAAATAAGTTTAAGACAATTTATTCTAGAATATTCTCTCTTTATCTGTTGCAGACTATCCAGATACTATGTTGCCTGATGATTTCCAGTTTGGGGGCAATTATGGTTTCTGCTCCCTACTCTCCCTACTTCAACACAGCAGTTTCCATCATTTTGATGCCTGGGTACCCATTTGCTGGAGCTCTGTGTGTAAGTAAAGAGAGGTCTCCAAGACCTTGAGTGTATTAAGAATGCAAAATGCATGTTAAGTCATTGATTACTGTAAATGAATAACTGAGTTCCAAAGTCTGGAAGACAGGAAAAGAAAGTTAAGCCCTGAGTTTTCCTCTGTTATCTCATTAAGTCTTTCTCTAATTCAAGGGGCGGGGGGGGGGGGGGTGATGAAGTCATTGTAATCCCTCCAATTTTAAGAACTATCCCTTTTTCAAGTAAACAGTGAAAAAGTTTTTTTTTAAAAATTTAATTAGTGACCAGAGAAATAGTACAGTGGGTAGGGTACTTGCCCAGCACACAACTGACCAAGGTTGCATTCTCAACATCCTATATGGTTCCCCAAGACTGCTAGGAGTGATCCCTGAGTACAGAGCTAGGTGTAAGCTCTGAGGACTGCCAGGTGTGGCCCCAAAACAGACAACAAAAATTAAATTATTAACACTTGTAGATGCACCAGGTTTTCAAGGAATTAAATTGCAATGATAAAACTTCTGGGAAGCAGATGCACTTCTGTTGTGTGTTCAGATGCAATCCTAAACCCTCGAGAACTATTTTTTTTTCTGAATTTCACCAAGTAGTTTAAACAGACCCCAGTGGATCTTTTTTCTGTGGGGAGAATAGCAAGACCGGACTCACACTTCCCTCAAGAGATCACATATCTTCCATAAAGAAATGAGAAAAAAAATCATACAGCCTGTGCATATGAACAATACCAACACACCCCCTCTCTATGGATACAGTGCTTGTATGAACTTGCCGAAGCAGTCACATAAGAGAGTGCGACTATTCTATTCCTGGTTCAAAGTGCAATTTCTCTATACTCTCACATTCTCTTATGAAAGCCTCCTTGTCTGTGATTACTCAGCCCTAAAGCCACAAACTTTACCAGTCTTTCAGCTTCTCTTAACATCCCCTTTCCACCAGCTGTATCCTTGATGTCACTGGTTTCTGTGAATTATGATGACTCTTTACAGCTGCCTTGTACTTCCCACTTTCCTCAACTCTCAGTCTTGTTCAGCCCACCTACACCTCTGTCTTGAATCCCACTGTGTTTCTGTGTCTTGTACCATCAGTGCATTTTTACCGAGTGCTTCTATGAACTATTCACATTTTTCACTCTTTCATATCATTAGTTTGCTTCTATCAGCAGTAATTAGTCTTTTAATTTAGCAACTTTCCTCCCTCCATGTTCAACTTCTCTCCAGACCTCCTCAGCTCTGAATGATGTTCAGCCCCTTTGTGCATCTGCATATTCTTTAATGCTTCTTGAAGATGGGAACTGAGCCTACTGATATGGGCTCGTATCAGTCCTACAATGTTTTTTCCCTAAAATTTTAACCTTCTTTTAAAAACTTTTATTTATTTATTTAAATAGAATCACAGTAAGATACTCAGTTACAAAGCTGTTCATGATTGGGTTTCAGTCATGTAATGTTCCAACACCTACTCCACTTCACCAGTATACATTTCCAACCACCAATACCGTCAGTTTCTCTCCTGCCCTGTCCCCACCTCCATGGCAGTCCTCCTCTTCCTCCTTCTCCTCCTCTTCTTCCTCCTCCTCCTCTCTCTCTCTCTCTCTCTCTCTCTCTGTCTCTGTATCTCTTTTCTTTGGGGCATTATGGTTTTCAATACAGATACTAAAAAGTTATCATGTATTACCTACATTTACTTACTTCAAACACTCAGTTCTGATTGAGTTATTGAAAAAACATGTTTCTTTCCCTTCCATAATCTATCTAATCTGACCATTTTTTTCTTCTCTGAGCAGTTTGGCATTACTGGAATCCTCTCAATTATCTCTGGAAAAAATTCAACCAAGATCTTTGTAAGTATCACCACATGTCAGCTGATTGGAATAAAATCAAGTCCAGAGTTGATTCCTCGAGTTCAAAAGTACCATTTGACACTACAGAGAAGCATGGATTAAAGCAGAGAAGAGACTCCAAAGTTCTTCCCACTGGTGAAGTTTCTCCCCTCTGCTTCATCAGCAAAGCAAGCAGTAGAGTTCAAATTATTTGCCTTGTAGAACACAAACCCACCCCCCAGACCCCAAGGGTGCTCTTGCATCCTATTGTAAGTTAGCAGAAAGTTTACCTCTATAGCTTAATGGTGGAAATTTAAAAGCATACCATAAACTCCCTAAAACTTACGATCTTGGTTATAAATGGGGCGGACCCTCCACATTAAGGGTCAGGCACCCTTTTTTCCTGGAAAATGTTGCCTTGTAAGAAAATTGTAAGAGCCAATTTTCCCAAATAGCAGGGTCAGAGGTATATAAACTTAGGTACTGTGATTTGCTCCTACTACCTCAAAACAAGAGACTATAAGATAATTGTGACATATCTAACAAAGGTCAGGATAGTATGAAGGGAGGAGAGAAAGAATCTATGTACTTTGCTGATCTCATCATCTATGCTTACTAGCCACACATCCATAATATGACCGGGAAATATCTATTTTGAGCCAGGTGGAATGCCAGTAAATCCATGTTTGATTAGCCAGGGATAAGAACTACAACAATTGTTCTATGAAACAGAACTATATTCCTGATGCTGGGAATTAAAGTCTACACCCGAGAACTAGTAAACTGGATTTTAAAAGAGTTTTAAAGACTTGGATGGGCTCAAAGTGCTGAACTTGGAATCAGGAACATATTCTCTTCTCCCACGTCTTCCATTGACTGATTCTGTCTGTATGCTTGAAAAAGCTCCTTCCTACTTGATGCTTCAATTTTCTCATTTATACAATGTGAAAGGTAAACCAACATCTCTTAGAGGTAGTTTCCTAAGTGCTCAGAATACACAGAAAAGGGAAGAGACCATCTTTGGAAAGAGCTGACGTGACACTCTGGGTGGACTTCACATGTGGAACACAGACCCATCAATTCTACTTTACCTTCAGAGCCTTAATATTCAAAGACAGAACAACAGAACTAGGGGAGAAGAAGGCAGATCCACCACCTTTGTGTATCCCACAAAATCTATACCCAAAGAGAAGGAACATAGTACAGCCTTACCCATCATTGCTTCGGAGAGGAAGGTCTTCTGTGAGAGTTCTTACTCAGTAGGGTATGTGTGGATTGCTCTAGTTCTCATACTCCAAATGGACTGCTAAGTGACCATTTCAACTCCTCTAGTGAGTCACTGCCTTTTTTTTTTTTGCTGGTCTAAATTTGCAGCTTTCTGGAAAGAGAAGCTATAGATGGATTTTCCCAGGAGAGCAAAGCCCTTCAAGTAGTTCAATGATTCAAAACAGGTTGAGGAAGTCAAAAGAGATCATGCTGTGATCTGAAGATCCCACCTCTATGTTCAGAGAGTATTAAAACCAAAACTTCTCTCTCTGACGGGGGAGGTTACTCATAATTATTTAAATTCAGCAGTCATGGGTTGCATGGATCTGATTAACATCAGGTTCCTCTGGATGGTAAGACTACCTTGCCAATCACCAGATGTTTTCCATGTTGCAGCTCGCCATTTCCAGTGCACACAGACAGGTTCATTCCTGCAGACTGGCTCTTCCATGAAATCTTCGGTTGCACTGCTAATAGGAGTTCAAGAACAGCAAGCTCTGGGTTGGGAGGCCCGCCACCACTGACTTCTCTCTACAGATACCTGAACTGATGCATCTATCTTGTATCCCAACCCTTAGCTATTTCCACTGATTGGTCACACCCTATGTAAATGAGGAGTAGGGAGAACGACCAATCAGATTTTGCATACCCAGTGCAAATGAGTTTATAGACTGATCAACAGGATCCTGTGGACAAATGAGGACCAGTCAGCGGTGTTAATGATCTAACTTCCCGCTTTCCACTGTGAAACTTGGTTTAGTTATAGCAATTGAAAAACTAAATAATGCTGGAGTATACAGATGAGTGGTAGAGAAACCCAGTAGTATTGTCACGGAAGTAGTATTGTCACGGAAGTGGGGGGATGACACCACATTCTGTGCGAGACTCTAAGGCAGGATTTCTCTTCCAGGTCTTGATCTTAAATCTTTTTAGCACTGTTGTAGCTGGGACAGGGCTCATCCTCCTTGCCGCTACCCTGAAAGCCCTGAAGACGGCCTCTGAGCAATGTGACTCTGGGAAGGACTCTCTAGCATTGCCGAATATTTCGAACATTCAATACCATTATCCAGCCCACAAAGCCAAGGACTGCCTCCTGACTGGATCTAGCCTCACTGTAAGTAGGTTGGGGTTGAATATTGAATCATGTGGAAGATGACTGCTCCTGCCCCGCCCCCCTCCACATCACCTCTGCTTTTTCAGCTTTCTTCAATTGAATTGGTTTAAATGCCTGCAGCTAGACAGGGGTGGGGTGAGAAGTACACGTTGAAAAGGATTTTCAGAAGACATATAAGAATGCATTATATTCAATCATGATCCCCTGAGCACTGCTGGAAAAAAAACCCCGAGCACTGAGCCAGAAATATCTAATATATTCAAACAGTGCCGGGTATAACCTACCCACCCACCCCCCTCATTTGTTTTTAAATCGAATCACTATGAGATATAGAATTAGAAAACCGTTCGTGGTCGGGTTTCAGTCATAAAGTGTTCCAACACTCATCCCTCCACCACTGTAAATTTCCCACCACCAATGCCCCCAGTTTCCCTCCCTCCACCCCACTTCCAAAATTGTTAAAGAGAAGAGAATATAAAAAAAAAACATTGGGCGTCAAAAAAATGAAACAAACATGAAAGTTACCTACCTAAGAATCAGGAATAATACATTAATTTGAAATGACAATAATGGAAAATTATTTTAAATGCTTATAGACATAATGTCAAGCCCAAAAGAAAGAACTGGACAGTAAAATAGAAAAGAGCAAATGGATCCCCCCAGAACAAAATATGATTAGAAATAAATATATTAATCCTTGATATTAAGAACTGAACATCAAACTCAGTGTATCCAAAGATAAATGAAATTCCAATCTTAGTCAATTACACAGAAGACTAAGGTAAACATTTGGAAAATATAATAACTATAGCACTGCACTGCACTGTCCTTCTGTTATTCATTGATTTGCTTGAGTGGGCACCAGTAACATTTCCATTGTGAGACTTGTTGTTACTATTTTTGACATATCTAATATGCCACGGGGAGCTTGCCAGGCTCTTCCGCATGGGCAGGATACACTCAGTAGCTTGCCAGGCTCTCTGAGAGGAATGGAGGAATCGAACTCAGGTCGGCTGCATGCAAGGCAAACACCCTACACACTGTGCTGTCGCTCCAGCCCATAATTATAATAAAAAAAAAGATGTGACAAGAAATGTTCAACCCATATCTAATATGAGTTTCAGGAGAGAAACATGGACTATAGGAAACATAAACACAACCTGAGAATTTTTCAGAATTAAGAAAATGATATTTTATACTAGAGGGCTGGAGCGATAGCACAGCGGGCAGGGCGTTCGCCTTACAAGCGGCCAACATGGCCGACCCGAGTTCGATTCCTCCGCCCCTCTCGGAGAGCCCGGCAAGCTACCGAGTATTCGATATGCCAGACACAGTAACAACAAAGTCTCCAATGGAGACGTTACTGGGCCCGCTCGAGCAAATCGACGATCAACGGGAGGGCCTTTACCTTTTACCTTACTAGAGGAATGCACTGAGATCAATGCAAAAACTAAACAAACACACACCTTGGGCAGTCTGGTGGTGGAGAGGTGCAGTAATATCCTACCATAAAATTTGACACTATTATATACAGATCGCCTAAATGACAATGGATATTAAAAAAATGTTTACTCTCATAGTAGGAAACATCATTATGGAAATAAAAACATCAAAGACAAAACCAAAATAATTATTCCAGATAAATGTGGATTATTTAGAAGGTAGGATATCAAGTTTGTGAAATGCAGCTTGAGAGTTTCATCCTTCTGTTAAGAGAAACAAAAGAGAAAATGGAACTAAATCATTTTCTGCATTGCTAGCACTTCCATCTCTCAGTGTCCCCTCAGGCAGGCCTATGGACTAGACTCTGACACCAACCATCTGTGCCCTCATATATAGACTGTGCTGGTGGTGATGTTCCTCTTCACTGTCCTGGAGCTCCTCCTTGCTGCATATGCCTCTGTAGTTTGGTGGAAACAGAACTGCTCCAAGAACCTGGAGGTAAGTATCTGGCAAGTCACATGATACTTGTTACCTCCTCTGATTTGGGCTATGATGACCCAGGTCTAGAAAGAGAAGTCAAGAATTGGTCGTGACAAGCAGTACAAAACAAATTATTTTGTACTTGCCTTGGGACAGGCTTGGGTGGTGGTGAGAGGATTTGAAATAATGGTGGTAAGAAGGTGTAGTGGTGGTGGTGGGAATGGTATTGAAGTATTGAATGTGGTAGATTGTTGTGAACAACTTTATAACGATAAAATTTAAAAAAAAACTAAGAATTGTTTATGAGCAGGTGAGCAAACTTTTCAATCAATGGATTTCTCAAAATTTATACTGATCATCAGGGATGCATTTGTGCTGAATGGTAAACCAGTTGGATAACTGCATAATGTAAAGTGAGGTGGTTTTATAAATCACTTTTCCTAAAATCTTATTAAATAGTCAAGTCTTGGATAAAATGATAAAATAATATGGCTAATGACTGATACAGACTTAAGGGTAAAAGTATATTTTCTGCTTGCTGAAAGTAGACTAAGGGCCAAACATGATGGCCTCTCAGTAACTGTAATGTAAACTGTATTGTCCCAAAGTAGAAAGGGAATAAAAAGGAAGGTGCCTGTCACAGAGGCAGGGGGATGGGATGGTGGGGGATTGTGACAGGAGGGATACTAGGAACATTGGTGGTGGAAAATGCGCACTGGTGGAGGGATGGGTGCTCTATCATTGTGTGACTGAAACTCAATCATAAAAGATTTTTTTTTGTTTTGGTTTGGTTTGGTTTTTTGCATGTATGCATTTATTTCTTGCTTACAGAGAAATAATGAAAAATGTCACGTAAAACACAAGATTTATGAAAAATAAACATATTAGGGTATACGTTATAATACATAAAATTTAAGAACTAATTTCTCAGCAAGAGATTATTGTACTTTTTGTGTCTTATATTTACTTAAGCAAATCCTACTCTACATTAAGAAAAATATTATAGATAAATACTTTGCAACTTAGAAATTATTCATAGTATGTTAAGTAGAAAAACATGACATCCCATAAAATATAGAGGTTAATTACATATCTGGAAAAGTATAAATATAAAAAATGTATGAAAATTATATACCAAAAATATTAGAAATATGTATTTAATGTTGATAGTGATTCGAAAATTTTCCTTCAGTTATATGCTCCTTTTTTAAATATTTTATTGAATCACTGAGATAGTTACAAGCTTTCATGTTTGGGTTACAATCACACAATGATCAAACACGCATCCCTCCACCAGTGCACATTCCTCACCACCAATATCCCCAGTATATGTCCCCTTTCCCACCCTCCCCCTGCCTCTATGGCAGACAATATTCCCCATATTCTCTCTCTACTTTTGGGCATTATGGTTTGTAATGCAGTTACTGAGAGGTTATCATGTTTGGTCCAATCATGAAGGTTTTTAACTATATCTCAAGGTGATTCAAAACAAAACTGTATCTCCTAGTACAAAGCTTTCCTAGGAAGTCTCCAGAGGCAAGTTACCTTGTAATATCATGTGATTCTACTAGTTTGCTTCTGTTCTTTTTATGCTTCCCTATGTTCTTCCTTACTTCCCTTTTTTTCTTTTCTTTTTGCTTTTTGGGTCACACCCAGCGATGCACAGGGATTACTCCTGGCTCATGCACTCAGGAATTACTCCTGGCAGTGCTCGGGGTATCATGTGGGATGCTGAGAATCGAACCCGGTTCAGCCGCATGCAAGGCAAAGGCCTACCCGCTGTGCTATCCCTCCAGCCCCAGTTCCTTATTTCCTTTTGTGTCTTTAAAATACTTTCATCTCCTTTAAAAGCTCTAGTGAAACTAAAGTAAATTTGCAAAGGGACTGAATTTAAGACACAGCTATAATCTTATGGTTAACTATGATCTTATAAAAAAAATAGCTCCATGATTAGCATTTTGGAGAGTGACACTTCTTTAAATGAATATTGATGCCCTTCCATGTGCAATTATGTGTTATATAATAGTAGCGTAGCCATCCTCTATAGAATTTAGAGAGAAAGCATTACAAATGTGTTTTAGAAACCTCAAAAATGAAGATAATGAAAATAAAAGCCAATTAAAATGAACATGTTTTATTTTTTCTAGAGTGAATTTTCCTTGCCCCAATCACAAGATCTTATCCAGCATGTCAAAAAGAATTCTTCAAGCCCATAGATCTGGTTGGAGTAGCCCTTTGTCTTTCATGAGAAAGGTGGGATCGAAGCTCTGCTTGGAAAACATAAACTTTTCTGCTGTTTCAACCACTTGAGTATTTTCTGTTTTATACTTACTCAGTATACCTTTGAAAATAATTTCCCAAAATCCCCGATGAGTACAATTTAAAATGCTCAGGAACTTGCCAGGCTTCACCAGATAAACTGAACTGAAAGTGACTCACCTGCATCTAAAGATGAAGAGAAAATGAGCACTGTTGTGTGAGTGTGATATATTACGTGTATATGTCATCACTAGTTTTGTAGACTTATGCTTATGTAGCTTAAATACTAGTTATTAGGAACTTTAAGACATTTTAAAATTAGTATGACTTATTTCTGTCAATCGAATGAGTTGAAAACTGTCAGTTTAATATGGCTCACTATTCTATCTCATGTAATGACTTTATTCTTGTAGAAAATAAAAGATTATAACTAATGAAAACCATTTGTTTAATGCAAATTCTATACTAAGTAAGAAATTTTACATAGAAAAATAATATCAATTTTATTACTGTATTAACTTAAACAACAAGACCTTTTGAATAAATAGGTTCCTGGTATTATCCCCCAATTTAGGCATTGAGACCTATCCCAAAGGGAAATGTTTAATATAAATGCAGATATTCATATGTTTTCCAAGTTGCATCATACAAAAGTGATCATGAAAATAATCCACAAAATACTACTTAAATAAAAACTATTGAACGGTTAAAATAGACAAAATTTGTGATCTATTCAGACAACGGTGCATTGCTATACAGCAATACAAGTGGGAAAAATCTAACTGTGGCCAAGCATCACTTAAAGAATTTCTGGACACCAACAAACCAAAAACATAGGTTGATGGTTCTGATACGCTGAACCTTATGGACTTGTTGCATAATAAGCCATATTTAGTTTTGTATAATTACATTTTGTGACATTTTTATAATTGTTGGATAACATTGGGTTGTTCTTGATGCTCCTGCAGGGAGCTTAAGGTTTATTGAGACACTCCCACAACAGTGCAGCTGAGGCACACCCAAATCCATCAGTCACTAAAAATCCCATATTGTTCCTCTCTTTCTCTTTGTTGCCTGTTTCTACTCTGGAGAAACCTGCGTTCTCTCTCAAACACATACATCTTTCTCTCCCCATACATCTTTCAAAATAAGTTTTAATAAAAACTGTCTTGCTTAAAAATAGAGCGGGCCCAGTAACGTCTCCATTTTGAGAAGTGATAGCACAGTGGTAGGGCGTTTGCCTTGTGCACAGCCAGCCTGGCCGAGCAGGGTTCTATCCCTCTGCCCCTCTCAGAGAGCCGCAAGGTACTGAGAGTATTTCGCCCACACGGCAAAGCCTGGCAAGATTCCCATGATGTATTCCATATGTCAAACACAGCAACAAGTCTCAAAATGGAGACGTCACTTGGCCTGCTCTAGTAAGTCGACAAACAACGGGAGGACAGTGTTTGTAATTTTTTTATTTGCTTAAAAATAAAAGACTAAAAAGTCATTTTCCATCTCTGAGAAATAGAAGCAAACTGTTTGTTTTGTTTTTGGTCATACCCAGTTGTGCTCAGGGCTTGCTCCTGGTATGCACTCAGGGATCACTCCTAGTGGGACCGGGATTATATGGAGTAGTGGGAACTGAACCTGGGTCAGACACGTGCAAGGTAAGTGTTCTACCAGTGGTATTTTCATTCGGCCCTAGAAGAAAACTATCTGGAGGCCCCTTGGAAGAGAGATGTAGGAGGAACAGCCTGAGTCCTTCATTGCTAAGCAAATTGGTCCAAAATACCAACAAAGGCATCTCTCCTAGATAATTCCAACACTTTGGACTTGTTTTAGAAGGGATTCTTCTGGCCCAGGGACCATCTTCTTTTTCGATCTGTTTGCAAGTGCATGCTTCTGGCCAGCCAGAGGATCTCCTCCCCCCATTTGCTGTTGTAAGTTTCAATATAATAAAAAGAGGGTGTGATGGGCTAGTGCACAGTACACGTAGGACTAGAGCTTTCGGTGGCCGAGAGCTGCCCCTCCAGACCAGATGATGGGAGAAGGACAACCCAGACCCACGCTGGTCCACAGTCGGTTTTTCTCTCTCCTCCCCCGTGTCGTCCAATCTCTCCCTTTCAGCAGTCATAGTAGTCATTTTGGCTGTAATCCCAGTCATCAGAGTTCCATCATCCTAGTCTCCTCATAGCCCTCAAAGTCCTCTGCTTCCAGTCATTGTCATCTTCCAGTCCTCCTTCTAGACCCAAAGTTTCCAAAGTCTAAGTTCTCCTCTTCTTCTTCAACGTCTCATCATTTATCTTCCCATCCTCAGCGTCTAGTGCTCAGTGTCTAGTGCTCAGCATCTAGTCCTCAGCATCCAGTCCTCAACATCTAGTCTTCAGCATCTAGTCCTGACTTTCTCGTTCCCAACATCTAGTCTTCAATATCTTCAACATCTTCTCAGCATCTCTTGGTCTATTCCTCAATGGCATGTCATTTCCTTCTCAGCATCTCTTGTCCAGAATCCCATCCAGAGTCCAGTTCTCTCTTACCCCTTAGAGCATAGTTGTACAGAAATCATGAAGAGTGGGGATACACAAAGGTGAGGTTGAACATTATCATAACAACAAAGAGATGTAAAGCTTTCTTTCAGATGAACTCAAGGACAAAATCTCATCTGATGATTCAGCACTCCAGATTACTAGGAGATTCGTTCAAGGGCAGGATTCCATCCAGGCTGTATTGCTTTCTCCTTTCCTCATCTAGTAATCAGTTTAAACAGTCATAGTATATTTACTTCTTCTAATATTTCTAGCAATGTCATTTTGTATGAACACAGAGATGTAAGAGATATATTAAGCTTAAAGTTTGGCTCTTCCTGGGGACATCTCACTATACATTCCAGACCACAGTCTTCAGGCCAGATTAGTCTTTCTTAACCCCAGAAGAGTCTTCATTCAGTTACTTCTTTTTGGGTCATGACCGTGCTCTTAACTTAAAGTTGAGTATTATGGCAATTGGCGTGGCTCATTTTGATGCCAGGGTAGCTCACAGATTGCCCTGGGTCCATCTAGTCCCCCAGGAGGACCCTGATCTTGGAGTGCTAAAAACTAAGGGAAACTGAGGCTTAAGTCAAGTAAATATGGATACCCAGGAGTCAATATTATTTTGGAGTCAATTAACTCCCATGTTATATAGCACAGCATCAACTGTCTTCCTGTGCCTTTACAAAAAGGACATTGCTAAACAAACCATACAAATGACATAAAGGAAGGAGAAAATCAATTATTATTAATGCCTGAGGGAACTGGGTGTGCCTCAGTTGCACTTGTTGTGGGAGTGGCTCAATAAACCTTAAGCTTCCTGTGGGAGTAGCAAGAATAACCCAGTGTAATCCTACACATAATAACAAGCATTACACACAGATTTCCCAGAAAGTACCCTGTCACTGGGTAATATTTAACTATATATGAAACCATTAAGATAAAAGTTCATGAAGAACAAAGTTCAGAGGTAAAGAATAATTCATAAAGGCATATATTCTTTGTGAACTTATGTACAAAAAGTAAAATCTTTGTTTGTTTTTAATTTTTTTTTTATTCACTGTGATCACAACACTATTGACAAAGAGTTTCAGGTATTTGATATTCCTACCCCAACCCACACTACTGTCAAAGTCCCTCCCACAATGACTCAAAGTTCCCTCCCTCTTCCCACTGTCTCCATAGCAAACACAGTTTTTAAAACTAACTTTCTAATTTTCACACGTATGTTGACTCATCTGGTTTCTATTCACATAGTACAAACCTCAATAACACTGAAATACCAAGGTAAGCAAAGATCTGTCAGGATCAGGAGATTAGTTTCTACTTTTGCAGAGAGTAGTAGATTAGTAGTAGTAGTAGTAGTAGTAGTAGTAGTGGTTGGAAATCCAAAGGGCCTAACAGTTCTCACTCCCTGCAGTGTTCAGTACGGTACCAGAGCTCCTGCATGCAAAATAAGCACTTTAACCCACATATCTCCAGCCCAACAACAGACTGGCTTTTTGTTTTTAAGTCTAAAATCTGACCACAACGAAAGCAGGGATAGGGTGAGTAAGAGGGAACAAATAAGGAAGCAGACCCTTCTAAAGTCCCAAACCTCAAGGATCTGGGGAATTTTGCACTCTGCCAGGAGTTCCCTGCAGAGGAGAGGCTGTGTGGCATAGCCGCCCATCAAAGGGCACACCAGCATAGCCACAGTCATTGGTTAGTTTTTGTACGCTGAGCCAATCCCTGTCCTCCCCAGAGAGTCCCAAAACTGTCTATAAAAATCCTTACCTGGCACCCAAGTAAAGTCTATTGCCGCCTTCTCTATTTGCATGAGGTGGCATCTACTACCTCTCCTTTAATAAACGTACTTTGTCTCTGTCCTCTTTCTCAGTTGTTGAGTAAGAGATCAACTGTGAATCCTGGAAGCACTCTTACAGTAGGTAAAATAGCATTTATTCCTCCACTCCACCCCCTTCTATGTCATCCCAAATTAGACTCAGCAGCCTTCACTCTCCCTAACGGATGTGGACTCTTATTTTCTCTCATGACTTCTTTTCTCTTTTCTCTCTATTCTAGTTATTTTGACCTTACGCTGTCACTGATCATTGTCATAGTTTACACTTGAAGACCTTTCTATCTGGAATGCTTTCTCATAATTATTTCCATTGCCCTCTTCCTTATTTGTTTCATATCTGCAAATCTCAACTCAAACACAATTTCTCACCACCAGCTTACGTAAAACTACAACTTAATTTTCCCTCCACCTCCTCATTGCTTTCTCCATGACAACTACTACTATTTTATTACTACACACATATATATAAATTTGCATATATATAAATATAAATATATATACTATATACATGGGCTGGAGCGATAGCACAGCGGTAGGGCATTTGCCTTGCATGCAGCCAACATGGCCGTCCCGAGTTCGATTCCTCCGCCCCTCTCGGAGAGCCCGGCAAGCTACCGAGAGTATCTCACCCACACGGCAGAGCCTGGCAAGCTCCCCGTGATGTATTCGATATGCCAGACACAGTAACAACAAAGTCTCCAATGGAGACGTTACTGGGCCCGCTCGAGCAAATCGACGAACAACGGGAGGGCCTTTACCTTTACCTTTACCTTACTATATACATATATAAATTTGTATATATGTAAAAATATATACACATATATTTAATTTGCTTATTACGTGTACATATCCTTCACAAGTCTGTTAGAAAGGTTTTAGGGCAGTCTGACGATTGCTTGATGAGGTTTTCAGCTCCTAATTGTGAGTTTTTAAATATAGTAAAGGAGGTGGGGAAGAGGGCTTTTGATATTCTCCTTCATTCTATAATAAGAAATCAATAGAATTGTAGTTTGTCTTGACGTTGACAAGCAAAGTTCAAATTTTCACTTTTCCTCCAGAAG